ACGCATCGGATTCCCACTTTGGGATTTCATCCCTCCCTTCGTTTTCCTCCTGCTCCTCCTGCGCCTGCTCCTGCTCCTGNCCCACCCTAAATCCGGCCCGCCCTCCGACGTGTCTGATCCCCAGTTGCTGAAGGCATCGCTGTATTCGGACGCATCGGATTCCCACTTTGGGATTTCATCCCTCCCTTCGTTTTCCTCCTGCTCCTCCTGCGCCTGCTCCTGCTCCTGCTCCTCCTCCTCCTCCCCGTCCTCGTTCTTCGGTCCCTGTTGAATCACCCGGCGCGGCTGCCTGCTGCCTAGCGGCTGCCTGTGCGGCTGCCTGCTGACTAACGGCTCTTACCGCCAAACGAGAACGCAGGGCTCCGGCTACAATGGCAGATGTTGCAGGAATGGAGGGTGTAGCAGGAACAGTGGGCGCAGCAGGAACGCTGGATGTAACAGCAGCGATCCGAGCCTCAGGTTCCGCCGCGCGAATCAGTCCACAGGTGGCCCTGCAAACCAATGCCAGCTAGCATTTCCTTCCTGCTTTTCGACAGCCGCACCTCACGCAGAGACTCTTCTTACCCGGAGCCGGTTTGCGCCATATTTCTCCGTTTGCGTCTTGTTGTCGGTGCCAACGCAATGCCAGCTAGCATTTCCTTCCTGCTTTTCGACAGCCGCACCTCACGCAGAGACTCTTCTTACTCGGAGCCGGTTTGCGCCATATTTCTCCGTTTGCGTCTTGTTGTCGGTGCCAACGTAAGATACTAAGACAGCCATACCGCGCGATTCTCCGCTGTCATGTGCTCCGGGCTGGTCCCCCCCGCTTTCGGGTCGATCCCTCATCCCTTGCCGTTGAAGTCTCGTACTGGTACCACCTCTAAACAGCCATCTCGCCAGTACTCAAGCACCTGATGGCTTCGCTCGCTCTGCTGGCGCATGGACTCGAACGCAGGGCACGTTGATGTAGCCTTCTTTGAACCACGCCTGAGGATAAGCATCCGGATGACGTCGACGTAATGTGCGACATCGCCGTTGTCCGTGTGGAAAATCCAGCCGGGCTCATGCCCACCACGAGCAAAGGCAGCTTCATACTTAAAGTAGAATATGGTCGCCAACAACTTGATGCACTCGTCGATCTTGACGCCCCATGCCCCACCCTCGCGCACGCAGATGTACGGCCGAAACACACCCTCCGTCCGCACGCTCTTCAGAGTAAGAGCCCACATGGTCCCGAAAGGCAGGCCCGATATGGCAGGCAGGAAGTCGCAACCAGCAAGCAGGTAGACGAGGACAAAAAAGCGTACCTTCTCGTCGTCGTCGGGAATCCATCCCTGGAAATCGGAGTCCGTCGCAGAGATCTCTAGCCGTAGAACTGCGACTGGCGATGTGCGTGAACCCCTTCTCATCTGCCGACCTGTGACATGCAGCATAAAGTTTCTCTTCTGCCAATTGCTCCCCCCGTGGGCACAGATTACATGGCTCGCCGGGAGTAGTGGTGACCCATACCTTCGCGCGCGGCTTCCTCTTTCTCTTGCTTCCGTCACTATCGGCAACTGCTCGTGGTCTCTTCCCATCTTGACTCGCTGCCGAGAACGAACTCCCGGGGTAGTGCTCGCCGCTTTTGCACGCTCAGCCTCGGCGATCTCACGTTCCTTGCGGGTCTTTGGCTCCGCCCTCCCCACCGCCAGCTGCTCCTCGTTGCCAACTCTGCAATCTTCTCCTCCAACTGCGGTTGTAGTAGGACCAAAGAACGTCTGGCCTTAACCCTCGCCGGACGCTTCTTCCCTGATCTTCGGCCCGAACCTTTCAACCGCGCGCCAGAATCTTGCGCCCGGCGTTCGCCTAGGTGTCTGTACTGGCGTTCTCGCGACGGTGCTTTCCCTCTTCGTTGCCTCTCGCAGCAGCTGGAGAGGATGGGTTCTCCGTCTACTGGCCAGCGGGCGGATGCCGCGGGGACACGGTCGGTGTGTACCCCCCCCCACCGCCGGGGGCAATAGCACAGGGGGTAACAACACACGATCTTCTGTCTCGGTTAGCCATGCAGTTGCGTGACTGCACGACATCATGAAGCCACCCCTGAAAGCGAGGTTGAGAATCGACAAACAAAGGAAACGACAATTGGTTAGTGCTTGGTCACGAATTTGTTACAGCAGTGGTGCTCTTCTTCGTGGTGCCCCCTCGCACTGTACGTGGCAGTTTCCAGATCAATGTGTCCAAATCTAGTGTTTTTCTTTGACGTGTGGCCAGCACGCACGGGTACGCCGAATCATACATGTCACGAAACGTGGGTTGTTGTTGTTGTTGTTGTCTTCACATTAAACCGTATGTCAGTTGCCAAATGCCAAAATCTAGCAAAAGACTCTCAGCCCGTGGTCACGAAAGTGCTAGAGCCATATGAGGATCTAAAGAGCACGCACACATATAACGAGAAAAAGGTATCCAAGAGCCCGAAGAGGTACCCCTAAAAATCCCTGCAGCACCGTATGCGTGCCCAAAAACTGAACTGCACGTCCGTCCCACCGTTCGACTACAGTAGCATCACCCCCTCCCTGTCCCACTCTATACCAAAACGGAAGATTGCCGACTACAGCATA